AATTTTAAATCAGTATATTATATGTATTACTGTAATACAAAAAATAAAAATATTACAGTAATTAGAGCATAATGAGAATCAACATTCAGAATAACGATAAACTTAAGGATAAAGAAAATGACTTTTTAGAATTAATGCGATTTTTTTGCATCATGACATTATTTACATGCCAATAAAACATTTCTAAATAATCACTGGAATTAATAATACACTGGAATTAATTACTGTAATACAAAAAAAGTATATTACATTGTACATATTAAAATCAATATATCATTTGATATTTTAACTTAAAAATAAAACAGAAATTTAAAACATTATATATTATATAATATTAGTCTAAAAAATATATATATTTTTTAATTTATCAGACTTTTAGACAAAAAAGTATGCGTGATATATTTGATATATCCGGCTTTTATGGCTCATATAGGCTGAAATAGTAAAAGAATGAAGTAAAAACAGCAAAATTGTATTTATTATTTGGTGCAGATGCTGATATTTATATGATGAAATTCTGATGCTTGTAATGTAAATCAATAAGATCTTTATAACAGATATTGACATAAAATGATATAAATATCAGTGGTCGCTCTTCGATAATTTCTATATCTCCAATAATATGTCTCAGTAAAATGAGATTGAAATGATCCAAACATATAATGAAATGCAATCCAGTGCTGATTGAGAGATGATCAGAAGATGTGAGATGTTCTGGAGGCTTGTGAAGATCATTCCTCCGCTGAGGAACAGTGAAAGTAAAACTTCTGGAAACAAATGCTCCTCAAAAGATTCTGATGATCAGATTTGAGACTCTAAAAAATGATTGATGAAGAATCAAGTAAAGCCGAGCTGCTTCAGTCCAGTAAGTGTTCATCTGGAAATATGACTACAGTTATTCTGACGTTTCCTTGATCAAAATTTATTTTTAGATTTGACAGCAAAAAACATGTGAAGCACGAGCTGAAGCTGGACGTTTGTACTAAAAGGCCTTTTACTTGCTTAAAAAGTCTAAATTATCAATCAGACGACAGAAGGCATGAAGTAGATTGTGTGCAACAGGTTTAACAGCAAAGTTTTGATGTTGATCATTTAGTTGAATACAGGCTTTATAGGGTTAAAAGTTGGTGCCTAGATGCAACAAACCCTAAATACACTCTTAAAAATAAAGGTGCTTCATGATGCCATAAAAGAACCTTTTTTGTCTAAATGGTTCCATAAAGAACCTTTAACATCTGAAGAACCTTTCTGTTTCACAAAAGCTTCTTTGTGGCGAAAGCAGGTTCTCCAGATTATAAAAAGCTAAGAAAGAGATGGTTCTATAAAGAACCTTTGACTGAATGCTTCTTTGTGGAACCAAAAATGGCTGTGAAGAAAGTTTTAAGCACCTTTATTTTTAAGAGTGTACTGTATACACAAAAACACAGATGTTAATGTTTAGCCAACATGTGAACACAAAGCTTGTGTTGCTGCCATTGAACATGACTTATTAGCTAGCCAATTAGACTCCAGCTGTAAAGATTCAAACACAAAGAGTTAAATGACTCGTTATCAGCCTCGATATTCCCTAACTTCAGCAAACGGAGCGCAGAAGGAAGCGCTAAACGAAACATCTGTAATAAAATCATCAGTCCAGCTGGAAAATCCATCTGTAATCCTACCAAGAGAGAAAAATCCCTCGTATACACACACACACACATCCGGCGCATGAAGACAATCCCTTCAGTATGAAATATTAATACCAGCAGTGAGGGACAGAGACGCTCTCAACACCTGCAGAAACACGTCTCTCCTTTATCCTCTCATTTCCTGCGCATGAATAATACACTTCTATCTGCATCCCTCCATCTCCCTTTCTTTCTTTCCTTCTCTATGTGTTTCTTCACTTCTCTTCTTAGCGAGGAAAGCCCAGAGTGCACGAGGTCACGTGATCTGAATACGGCCTTCTGTTATTTACAAGCAAGCCATCCGTCCATGGGCCCTCAGCAGCCGTTGAGTGCGTCTGATGAAACGAAACGACATCTCCAGTTCATGCCGCTACGTCAGGCAGCACGGCCGCTGAATCCTAGAAAACGCTTTCTCTCTGCACACATTCACATGCATCAACACAAACTCATCACTGAGCAAACTGAGCACATGCTCGTCTGTTTCTGATGATATGAGACACATCAGCATCAGCTGTCTGTCAGGCTTCACTCATACTGTGGACAATAACAAATAAGCTTAGCTGTGCAAAGTTTTTAGAAATGTAATCGAAATCATTCTTTATCTCTATTTGTGTTGGTTTCTTATGTTTATGAAAAACTTTTACTAGTCAATGCAAAACAAAAGGATGAAAAGAAAAACACTGTAACAATCTAATTTAAAAGTCGTGTTTTGTTTTGTTTTTTTTATAAATCGAATCTTTCGTTTCATATGGTTTTAGAAAACGTAATGTGAATCTGAATTAAAGATATAATAATTACTGCTTTTGACAGCCTAGAGGGGTATTTAAAAAAAATATATTGACTAAAAAAAAATCTAATTTTATTCACTTGTGTCAGTGCAAAAGAAAAGGATGAAAAAAATAAACTGTAACAATTTTATTTAATGACTCTAAAAAACAAATAAATATACTGTATAT